TTTGGTCATTGAAGCCAACAGACCAGTGTCTGCTTCCTACCAGACACCCACTCCGTGGCCTCGGCCACGTCACAGCTCCTGCTGAGCCCCTGGTACAGCAGACACAGAAAGCGCTGCCCTCCTGGGCTGCTGAGATGCTCACAGGGTGCTGTCGGGACGAGGCCAGAGGGCTGCTTATCTCGGGTACTCTGGGTTTCCAGATGGCTCCACTACTCTTCCTCGTGGCAGGTGCGGCTAGGGCACGGCACCGACACTGCCCGGACACTCCTGATAGTCCTGGGAGGCCGGTGCAGGCCGAGGACACGTCGTGCCTGGCTGGGCCCGCCTGAGCTGGGGACCTTCTGCCAAGGCAGGTTTGTGGCGGTGGCCTATGAAACTCTGTTTGTTGTGATTGTCACCACGGTGGCCTCGCACCTGGGCAGCCCTGGGCTGTGTGGCCATCTGGGCCCAGTGCTGACGTCTGTGGCCAATAGTGGCAGCTCGTGGCCTGCCGCCTGTTTCTGGGCTGTCTCCATGGCAGCCTCATCCACTTCCTCCCACAGCTGCCCCAGGGAGACCAGGTCACTCCCGACGCCGGCCTGGTGACCCACATGGGCAGGGGCAAGGGAGTCAGGACCCCGCTTCCCCCATCTGGCCACAGGGTTGACGCTCCCTTGACAGAGAGGGAAACTGAGTCGTGGTGAGGGAGAGCACATCTGTGGCGTTCCCAGATCCCCGAGCTGGGATGGGTGTGCGGGCTGGAGCCAAGGGCCCCGCAGATGCCCGAGTGTGGCTCACAGAACCCCGAGTGGTTAGCAACTTTTAACGTAAAGTGTTTTACTTTCTGGTTACAAAAAGCATTGAGTCAAGAAAAAAAGGGTCTGTAATTCTCACTACTGAGGAGGAAATTTACCACCTCTGTGGAGGCCTGGAGTCACCGTGGTGACCATTTCTGGTCCATGATAGGACCACCTACTGTGTGCCAAGCCCTGTGCCCTGCAGAGGAGACATCGCCTCGCCAGGCGGTTGGAGGTGCAAGGAGGAGGGTGCCGTGCTGGGTGTCAGCCAGTGCAGAGCCGGAGTCCCCGGACTGCCACCCATGGAACGCAGTGCTGGCAACCCTGGCCTGGGGCTGCAGCCTCCACAGGCTCAGCCCGGGCCCTGCCCCTGCCCCAGAGGCCAGGAGTCTGGTCGGCTCCAGAGTCGCACAGAAGTGGCCCCGGGAGGTGACAGCCTGTGTCTTCGGCTGTTCTGCTTTGTGGTGCTGCTGTTGTGTTGGGCCTAAAGAAGCCTGGGGGGCCCCTGGTTCCTGGGCAGCACGAGGTGCCCGGTGCTTCCCGCTGGGGACGATGATAGTTTTTCCTCCGGCGAAGCCCCTGTCAGGGGTGCTGTGAGCCACTGGCCTGGTCGTGGGTCTGAGTCAGCAGATCCAGGAGTGCCTGACCCCTGACTCACTGTGCAGTGGCTTCCCCTTTTGAGCCTCAGTTTCCCCAAATAAAGTAAGGCTAAGATCTCTCCCTTAGGGTTGTGGGGGTGCCACAGGGGTGGCCAGCAGGCTCCTCTGATGGATGGAAGCTTGGAGAGCCGCTCAGTTCGTGACGCCATCCAGATGCCTCGTGTGTGATGCTGTGATTGGTGATGGGCGCCCAGGGCCCGAGCGGATGGCAGTTGCCTGGTGAATACAGCTGCTGCTGCCGCCTGTGGGCCTTGTTTCCCGAGGCGTCTGGGCAGGCCCTGGAGGGCACATAGTCCGTTCTAGGTGCTTCCCTGAGAAAGCCCATGACATGGGTTCTGGTTTTATCCCCGTCGCACGGGAGAGGACACTGAGGCTTGGAGAGGCCACCCAGCTACAAGGGGCAAAGGTGGGGTTTCAACTTGGGGCAGAGAGAGCCCATGCTTGTGGCCTCTGGGCCCCTGAGGTGGCCCCCGGGAGAGACTGCGGTGCTCGGCCCACAGCCCCGGTGCAGACACGGGCTGTTCTGTGTCCTGGTGGGTCCAACACTCTGAGGACAGCGGGGCCCAGGCCTCGTCTTTCGCGAAGCACAACCCCTCCCACCTCTCTACAGCCCGTGGCCTGGCCCCTGGGCCTGAGCACTTCAGCCCCCACCAGGGGCACAGGCCCCGAGGCCACAGACGGGGGCATGGCAGAGGCTGACTTTGAATCAGAGGTGACTTCCGGCAGGGTCTCCAGGACTCCCCCACTCGTCACCTGGGGCAGAGCCTGGCGCGGTCCTTCGTCCACTGCGGGCAGTGGTCAGATTGAGCAGGGTGGTCCCCGGTGCAGTGTGTGGGGTTGTGTAGGGTGTGGGGTGCAGTGTGTGGGGTTGTGTAGGGTGTGGGCTGCAGTGTGTGGGGTTGTGTAGGGTGTGGGGTACAGTGTGTGGGGTTGTGTAGGGTCTGGGGTACAGTGTGTGGGGTTGTGTAGGGTGTGAGGTGCAGTGTGTGGGGTTGTGTAGGGTGTGGGGTACAGTGTGTGGGGTTGTGCAGGGTATGGGGTACAGTGTGTGGGGTTGTGTAGGGTCTGGGGTACAGTGTGTGGGGTTGTGCAGGGTATGGGGTGCAGTGTGTGGGGTTGTGTAGGGTGTGGGGTGCAGTGTGTGGGGTTGTGTAGGGTGTGAGGTGCAGTGTGTGGGGTTGTGTAGGGTGTGGGGTACAGTGTGTGGGGTTGTGCAGGGTATGGGGTACAGTGTGTGGGGTTGTGTAGGGTGTGAGGTGCAGTGTGTGGGGTTGTGTAGGGTCTGGGGTACAGTGTGTGGGGTTGTGCAGGGTATGGGGTGCAGTGTGTGGGGTTGTGTAGGGTGTGGGGTGCAGTGTGTGGGGTTGTGTAGGGTGTGGGGTGCAGTGTGTGGGGTTGTGTAGGGAGTGGGGTGCAGTGTGTGGGGTTGTGTAGGGTCTGGGGTACAGTGTGTCGGGTTGTGCAGGGTGGTTTCCGGTGCAGGGTGTGGGGTTGTGCAGCATGTGGGGTACAGTGTGTGGGGTTGTTAGGGTGGTCCCTGGGTGCAGTGTGTGGGGTTGTGTAGGGAGTGGGGTGCAGTGTGTGGGGTTGTGCAGGGTGTGGGGTGCAGTGTGTGGGGTTGTGCAGGGAGTGGGGTGCAGTGTGTGGGGTTGTGTAGGGAGTGGGGTGCAGTGTGTGGGGTTGTGCAGGGTGGTCCCTGGATGCAGTGTGTGGGGTTGTGCAGGGTGTGGGGTGCAGTGTGTGAGATTGTGTAGGGAGTGGGGTGCAGTGTGGGGTTGTGTAGGGTGGTCCCTGGGTGCAGTGTGTGGGGTTGTGTAGGGAGTGGGGTGCAGTGTGTGGGGTTGTGTAGGGAGTGGGGTGCAGTGTGTGGGGTTGTGCAGGGAGTGGGGTGCAGTGTGTGGGGTTGGTAGGGAGTGGGGTGCAATGTGGGGTTGGTAGGGAGTGGGGTGCTGTGTGTGGGGTTGATAGGGAGTGGGGTGCAGTGTGTGTGGTTGGTAGGGAGTGGGGTGCAGTGTGTGGGTTGGTAGGGAGTGGGGTGCAGTGTGGGGTTGGTGGGGTGGTGGAGCTAGCCAGTGCAGTTTGGCAGGAGGGCAGCGGGCGCAGGGCGGTGGGAGGCAGCAAGGACTCTCCTGCAGGAGCAGGCACCTGAGTGTCACTGTGTCTGTCGTGGGTGGTTGTGGGGAGTCGTCCTTGAATCCCAGCTCTGTCACCCATGCAACCCGGGCTAGTTGCTTCCCTTCTCTGGAAGACAGAGCCCTGATCTGGGCTCCAGGAGCCGGGGCTGTGGATGGAAGCCCGCCTTGCTCCTCACCCGTGGCTCCCCGGTCTCCGGACCTTCTCTCTGCCTGTAGCTTCTTCAGAGTGTGGCTCTGACCTAGGGCCCTCTGCCAGGTCAGCCCGTGTCCCGTGCTCCACGGAGCTGTGTCTTCTTCAGCGCCAGCCACATGCCCTGGACCTGGCCACACTCAGCTAGTTTGAGAGGCACAGGACTCAGCGACACGGGCCCAGCCACACGGGGTCAACCACACAGGCCCAGCCACAGAACTCAGCCACACGAGCTCAGCCACACAGGACTCAGCCACACGGGCTCAGCCACACGGGCTCAGCCACATGGGGCTCAGCCACATGGGGCCAGCCACATGGGGCTCAGCGACACGGGCTCAGCCACACAGGGCCAACCACACAGGGCTCAGCCACACGGGGCTCAGCCACACGGGCCCAGCCACACGGGCCCAGCCATACGGGGTCAACCATACGGGCCCAGCCACAGGACTCAGCCACACGGGCTCAGCCACACGGACTCAGCCACATGGACTCAGCCACATGGGGCTCAGCCACACAGGGCTCAGCCACACGGGGCCAACCACACGGGGCTCAGCCACACGGGCTCAGCCACATGGGACCAACCACACGGGGCTCAGCCACACGAGCTCAGCCACACGGGCTCAGCCACATGGGCTCAGCCACACGGGGCCAACCACACGGGGCTCAGCCACACGAGCTCAGCCACACGGGCTCAGCCACACGGGGTCAACCACACGGGCCCACCCACAGGACTCAGCCACACGGGCTCAGCCACACGGACTCAGCCACACGGGTTCAGCCACACGGGGCTCAGCCACACGGGGCCAACCACATGGGGCTCAGCCACACGGGCTCAGCCACACGGGCTCAGCCACATGTACTCAACCACATGGGGCTCGGGAAGCTCAGCCCCTCACCCATTCTCGGGGTAAGGGTGAGAGGACTCAGGCCTACCTGGCACCCCGATGAGGGAGTGGGCTTCTGGGGTGTCTGTTTCTTCCAGGGGCAGCAAAGGCAAAAACTGAGGGAGGGGGAGAGAAATGGGCGCCAGGCTCCAGCCAGGGGCTCCCCAGCCTGCGTCAGCTGTCTCCTGGCCACCTCTGCCGTGGCCGACGGGGAAATCGAGGCTGAGAGCGGAGCTGGGACGGGGAGGAACTTGTCTGCCTCGTGCCTGCCCTGAGCCAGCACCCGGCGGGAGGGCGGCTGTCAGACTGACGCCCTCCCAGAAACTGTCCCAGACACCCCACTGTCTCGCCCTCAGGAAAACCCAAGAGGAAGAAGGATTTACGGATCTCCTGTGTGTCTAAGCCGCCCATGCCCAACCCCACGTGAGTTTGCCTCAGTTTCTCCCCTGTCTGAGCCTGAGAGGCTCCCTGGAGGGCCCCAGCGGGCGGCAGCAAGCAGGGGGTCGTGGTCCTAGGCGGAGCCCCCTGCGAGCTGGTCAGGTTGGGTGGCCATGGGGTTCGCAGGTATCTCCGTGCTGTGCCCCTCACCCCATCTGAGATAGGAAGGTGAGCACCTGTGCCTGGCACAGGGATGCTCAGTGACTGAGGTGAGGGCCCTGAGGAGCCCGCCTCCTGGGACAGGGTGTGCCGCTGGTCCGGGGCCAGCTTGCTCCTCTGGGGGGGGGGGAAGGGCGTGGTTTCTCAGAGGCTCATGGGGTCTGTTTTCTCCCTGAAGCCCCCCCCGGAACCTGGACTCGCGGACCTTCATCACCATTGGAGACAGGGTAGGTGCTGGCTGCAGCCTGGGTGGCTTTTCCTGCCTTCTCATCTGACAGTGGGTCTGGGCTGACCCTGACGGGCCACTGGGAGGTGGCCATGGGTGCCAGACGGCTGGGCTTTGAGAGCGGCCTGGCTGCCTGAGTGCTGGCTGCTCTGATCTTTCCGTCCGGAATGGGCCTCACGGGGCCCTGGGGAGTTTCCTGGGGTCAGAGTTTGTCCCTGTCGCACCTGTGGAAACTGTGTGGGACATGCAGGCTCGACCCCGTGCTCGGGGCCATGCCTGGGGACCTGCATTCCACCGGCCTCAATGGCTTGGGCAGCAGGGACTGAGAATCCCGTACGGGGACCATGCTCAACCCACCAGACACACCGAGGCTCAGGTGGAGCTCGCCCTCCGGGTGTATTTTTCCTCCTTGACACTTGTCACTTGCTTATTTCCTTTTGTCTGCCTCTGGTGAGAGAGAGAGGGGGAGAGAGAGAAGGCGAGAGGGGGGGGGCGGGGGAGGGGGCGAGGGGGGGAGAGAAAGGGGGGGTACGGAGAGAGAGAGGGGGAGAAAGGTGGTGCCCCAGGGCCACACTGCTCACGGTGAGGGCGTGGTCTCTGCTTTGTTCTCTCTGTGTCTCTGGTGCCTAAAACGGGTTTGTGCATAGTAGGTGCTCAGTAAACACTGGTTGAACACGTGATTCAGTCTACCCACCTGAGCAGGCTGGGGAGCAAGGGGAAGGGCACCTCTGGAGCTGCCTGTGACCTTGGGGGCATTTCACAGGCTATCCGGGGGTATTGGTACTGTGCCTGTTTTATAGATGGAAATCGATGCTCAGAGAGGTTAAGTGACTTGTCCTAGGTCACACAGCAGGAAGTGGTGGGTGCAGAATTCGCACCCAGGTCTGACGGTGTCTTCTCTTTCTGCTGCCCCAGCCGTCTCCACTGACTGAGTTGAGGGGCCAGCTCCTAACTGTTCATCACCAACCTTCTCTCTTTTCTGTCTCCCAAGAACTTTGAGGTGGAGGCGGATGACCTGGTGACCATCTCGGAGCTGGGGCGTGGGGCCTACGGCGTGGTGGAGAAGGTGCGGCATGCCCAGAGTGGCACCATCATGGCTGTTAAGGTGAGCGGCCCTGCCTGGCAGGGAGCACCGGCCACGGGACACCCAGGAGGCTGCCTGCAGGAGGCGGGGCGGAGCCTCCCTCCCACACAGGGTGGTGGTGCTCGCCCTCTGCCGCAGGTCCTGACGGCAGCCTCTCCCCGCAGCGGATCCGGGCCACCGTGAACTCGCAGGAGCAGAAGCGCCTGCTGATGGACTTGGACATCAACATGCGCACCGTCGACTGCTTCTACACCGTCACCTTCTACGGGGCCCTGTTCAGAGAGGTGGGTGGCCGGGGGCCGGGAGCTCCACTGCCCCGCCCTGCCTTTCGTCTGCCACCTGCCCCCCCTGGCCTGGAGCCTCCTGTCATCACTCCGGGCCCCCAACAGCCACTTGCGGAGGGCCCTGCCTGCCTGTGTGTCAGCGAAGTGGGGCTCTTGAGAGCTCAGGCCTAGGAGCCAGACTGCCTGTCTCTTTGCTTCCGGCCTCAGTTTCCTTGTCTGTGAAATGAGACCAGTAATGGCACCCCCCACGAGGTTGTCACGGAGATGAGATGATGGGGCCTGGTGTTCAGTGAGTGTGCCTGTGTGGCCATCTGCCAGTAGGGCAGGGCTCCGGGCAGGGGCAGCTGTGGAGGCTGGGAGGGTCTATGGGAAGGTTGGGTGTGGGGTGCGAGGAATGGGGGAAGCCACGGTGTGCCTGGTTGGGTGAGGGCTGGTGTGGGCTGTGCACGGGGCCCCGGAGCCCGGGTGGATGCTCCTGGCTCGAGTGGCGACTTCCCACCTCGAGCAGTGGCCAGGTCAGGGCTCTTCCTGCCCAGCCTCACTGAGCACCTGGATCCCTGGGCTGGCTGGGTGTGCAGCCCAGTGGTGGGTCAGGGCCTCGCCATCCCTTGTCTGGTTGGCTGAGCATCCAGGGTCAGGCTGCTGTCCCCTTGCCGCTCGGGGGCCTCATTGCATGCTGGGCCAGAGCTGGCGGGGAGGCCCAGGGGCCTGGGGTGCCCAAGAAGGCTGTCCTGAGGAGTTTGCTGGGGGAACGGGCGAGGAGGCAGGGCCTTGCAGGTGGAGGAGGGAACTGTCGGCCTCTGTCAGAGTGGGATGAACCGTGTGGGGGGAGCCCCCAGGGTGGAGCAGGAGGGCTCTGCAGGGCTGGGTCCTGGAGCTGAGCTGAGCCGGATCCCAAAAGTTCTAGTCACTTCTTCCTGGAAATGACCATGGAACAGGGGTCAGATCGGGGAGGCCAGAGGTGAGCCTGGAGGGGCTGGTGTGTGCCCAGCAGCGGGGACAAGCCTGCAGGGGGAGCTGCGGACAGGCCACGGGGTTTGGGAAGCAGGATGGGAGGAGCTGGGGGACAGGCAGATGTGTCTGCCAGGGGCCTGGGTGGCACCGGCACCGGGCAGGCTGTCCAGGCCCAGGTGCAGCCCCAGGCTGGCCTGAACTCCCCTCTGGGTGTCCACCCACAGGGAGATGTGTGGATCTGCATGGAGCTCATGGACACGTCCCTGGACAAGTTCTACCGGAAGGTGCTTGACAAGAACATGACAATCCCGGAGGACATCTTGGGGGAGATTGCTGTGTCTGTGAGTGGCCTCCACCTGGTGGGGCGGGAGCTCCAGGCACATAGTTATTTATTTAGACTGGATTTGTTGGGGTGACTTTGGTTAATAGCATTATATTGGTTTCAGGTGTACAATTGGACAATCTGTTATCTGTATCTTGTGTTGTGTGTTTACCATTCCAATCAATTCAAGTCTCATTCCATCATCATTTTCCCCCCTTTACCCTCTTCTACCTCCCCCCACACCCCCTTCCCTCTGGCTGTCACCCTACTGTTGTTTGTCCACAAGTCTTTCTTACTTTTCTTTGCTTAGTCCCTCACCCTTCGCCCAGCCCCTGAGCTGTTGGGCTGAGCACTGCTAGGGGAGGGCGCAGCCCTGGGCGCCGGCATCCTGGACGCCAGCGCAGGCAGGGGGTGCCGTGGGTTTACTTCTGGGTGCATCTGGGACTACAGAAAATGCCGTGCCTGGGTGTTGAGTCAGTCTTTGGGGGCGATGCTCAGGCTTCCCCGTCGTGTCTTCCTGAGGGGAATCGCTCAGGTGCGCGTGCACTGCTCTGCTGAGTGTGGGAGGGGAGCGGGGAGGCTGCAGGGGGCTGGGCTGGGGAGTGGTGATGCCCGTGCGGGGAGGCCATGGCCCAGGATTCTGGAGGGGTTTCCAGTGCATCATCTCCCTGGCGAATGCTTGGCCCGGGACCCTGGCTGCTGGGTAGGTGGGGGAAAAGCAGGAGGCCAGGTATGCGTGCACCAAGGTGGCCAGGTGTCTGGGGCACTGGTGGAATGTGGGCAGGACCTGGACTAGTGAGGGGCCGAGTGTGTCAGCAGGCAGACAGATGGACACGGAGGGGGTGTGTTACTGCCCTGCCGTGTTGATGCAACCAGAAGTGACATCGCTGTCTTCGTCCTGCCAGGTCGTGAGGGCCCTGGAGCACCTGCACAGCAAGCTGTCCGTGATTCACAGAGGTCAGTGTCCACCAGCCACCAGGGAGAGGCCACCTCCCGGGAGCAGGTGGACCGCCCTCCCTTTTCAGGGCGAGCAACTGAGGCTCAGATGCTGGTGGGGATGTCCCTGCGGGGGTGTGGAGCTGAGCCTGCTTCCCAGTCCTGGCCCCTCTCCACTTCTCCAGGCGTTTTCCTGAGCCCAACCGAACCAGCCCTGCCCCCTAGGTTTGCCGCCTCCCCTTAGGTTTGTCTGCTGAGCCAGGGCTAGGGACCTGTCCCTGGGAGGCCGGCTGACTTTGTTTGGACGTGCCGTTTGCATGTTGTGAAATCGGTGCGTCTGCTCAGAGCTCGCACCGTGGATCCCCCCCCCCCCCGCCCCGGCAGGGTGCGGGTTTCCACCCTCACCCCTCCTGGAGAGCTCTCTCGGCCCTTCCTGGCTAGTCCCTGCACCCCTGACCCCACACTCCTCGTCTGATTTCCCACAGTGACTGGTTCTCCTTGTTCTTGAACTTCACATAAATGGACTCAAGCGCACGTGTCCGGCCCCCTTCACCGGGCCTGAGTCTGAGACCACCAGGCTGTAGTTTATTCCTCTTCCTTGTTCTTAGTGGTTCTCTTACCCCATGTGCTGCTTTTCACAGGGTTAGTTAGACTCAGCGCTTTGGCCGCTCAGTGGCCTCCCGGCCCCACCCCAGCCCACGGCTGCGGGCAGGTCAGTGTGGAACCTGCCACGCCTTCCAGTGCGTCTCTACCCCAGGGGCAGGTTGCGGGAGACTTCCGCTGTGTGGCGGCTCCGGCTCTGCCCTGAGTCGGGGTGGTCTCCACGCTTTCAGGCAGACCTGCCTCCTGGCTGAACCTGCTGACTCCTAGGTGTGCACCCAGCCCGGGGGACCCCAGAGCTAGAGGGTGTACAGGAAGCAGGGCCCGGTCCCAGCCTCCAGGCTCGGTAGCCAGGACAAGCCTGCCCCTCGGGCCCTCGTGTCCAAAGTGCTGATGGTGCCCGGCTGCCGCCAGCGAAGCAGCAGAGCCCTGACTCCCCCTCGCCTGTGGCCTCGTCTCTGCTGCACGTCACCCGCCCGGTGGCCTTAGGCTTGGGCAGGGCCTCTTGGAGCCTCAGCCCCTCGCCCTGCGCCCCGGGCGGTGGCTGGGGGCCTGCTGCCACCTCGGCCAGGGCTCCTGGAAAGGCCTGCTCTGTCCCTGGCAGATGTGAAGCCCTCCAATGTCCTCATCAACAAGGAGGGACACGTGAAGATGTGTGACTTCGGGATTAGCGGCCAGCTGGAGGATTCCATGGCCAAGACGATGGACGCCGGCTGCAAGCCCTACATGGCTGTGCGTAGTCCCAGCCCGACTCCGGGCAGCGAGCCCTCTGCCGGGCGCCACGCGTTTCTGCCACGGAGGCAGTGCGCAGCCCAGCCTGCCTGGCAGCCCTCTTACCCTTGTTATTCAGTGCGCCCCGAAATACCCCTGCAGGATAAGTTGTAGGGACACTCATGCAGAGGTGACTCCTGGGGTCCTACAGGCTCCTGGGTGCAGGGCCCTCTCCTCCCCTGTCCGGGGTGCAGGTCCCTCTCCTCCTGTGACCCAGGCTGCAGGTCCCTCTCCTCCCCTGTCCGGGGTGCAGGTCCCTCTCCTCCCGTGACCCGGGCTGCAGGTCCCTCTCCTCCCCTGTCCGGGGTGCAGGTCCCTCTCCTCCTGTGACCCGGGCTGCAGGTCCCTCTCCTCCCCTGTCCCGGGGTGCAGGTCCCTCTCCTCCCGTGACCCGGGCTGCAGGTCCCTCTCCTCCCCTGTCCGGGGTGCAGGTCCCTCTCCTCCCCTGTCCCGGGCTGCAGGTCCCTCTCCTCCCCTGTCCGGGGTGCAGGTCCCTCTCCTCCCCTGTCCCGGGGTGCAGGTCCCTCTCCTCCCCTGTCCGGGGTGCAGGTCCCTCTCCTCCCCTGTCCGGGGTACAGGTCCCTCTCCTCCCCTGTCCCGGGGTGCAGGTCCCTCTCCTCCCCGGGTCCTTCCTAATCCCTAGCTGGCTGTGCCTTCATCAAGAGACCCTGGCCCTCACTGGCCTCAGTTTCCTCATCTGTCTCGGGGTGGGAGAGGTGGGACAGGGGGAACACTGAGCCCTCAGTGTGGGGTCAAGAGGCAATATCTAGTGGAGGGCGTGGGCCACCCCTGTTCCAGCCTCTCCCCGTGGAGCCGGTATTTATGCCTCGCTGGTCCTTCTTACAGCCGGAGAGAATCAACCCAGAGCTGAACCAGAAGGGCTACAACGTGAAGTCGGATGTCTGGAGCTTCGGCATCACCATGGTAATGCCCGGGCGGTAGCCCTGGCTGTGGGCGGGCCGGGCCAGGAGCTGTTGGAGGGCCCAACAAATCGTTCAGACTGGAGAAAAGTGTAGGCTCCACAGTTTGAGAACACGTGCCGTCCAGAGTTCTGGCGTACTGCGGCAGGGTCTGTGGGTGCCATGGAGCCCTCCCCTCGTGGTGAGGGGCACCTTCACCCAAGTTCTGGGAGCACTCAGAGCTCATGGTGCTTGGGAGAAACTGCCGCCAGTTCCAGTGACGGGAGCTCCTGGTTCACAAATAATTTTAAAAGCAAAATGGTAAACATTATAAAGTTTTCTCACAGCAAGAAATTTGTTGCCTGTGGGGTCCTAGTGCATTCCCACGGTGTGGTAGGGGGGGCAGGTGGGCTCTCAGTCCTGGCCTGTGGGGCTGGGCCGGGTGGGGCAGGTGCTCAGCTCTGGGCCAGGGCCGTGGCTGCGGCTGTGGCTGGGGGTGGGGCTGGGCCATGAACCGTCCAGCAGAACTTGGGCCCTTCTCAGGCAGGCCTTGGCTTAGTGGGTTTTTTCAGGAAGTCACTTTGGCGCTGTGTGGAGCATGGGCTGGAGGGAGGGAAAAACCAGGCGGCCCAGGGTCTCAGCCGGGCACGGCATGATGCCACCTGGTGTCCCCAGCACACCGGAGTTGGTCCAGCCGACTCACTGGCTGGAGGGGTTGTTGCCCCCACACCCTGACCACAGCCGTCTGCAGGAGTGGGATGTGGGTGTGTTGGCGTTTCTGGGGGAATACCAGCACCCTCCCTGCCTCGGTTCCTGTGGCTCCCTGGGCTGGGGTCAGAGTGTAGTCAACAGTCAGTCAGTCAGTCAAGTGCCGGGCGCAGAGGAGTATGATGAGTTGGGGGGGCAGGAGCAGGGCAGCAGCACCTCTGGGTGGGTAGGAGAGGGCCCTGTGGGGTCCCAGGGCAGCAGCCCAAGGTGAGGGGTGCCTCGGGTGAGCCGGGGCCAGGTCTGGGGGTTAGAGAGGTGTCCGTGGGCGTTCAGGTCTGTGTTGTGGATGTAATTGATGCCACCCTAATCCTCAGGATTGTAACTTTGTATCTGTCCACAACACTGGGAAAGAATCAATATCAAAATCGTTGTGTCCAAGACAAAATGGAGGAGCTGGTGACACCTTCACTTTTCCTTAATGCTACCATTTTTTTTCTTTTTGAAGTGGAGAGGACTATTCCCTGTCCAAACAGTACACACTGGACCCACAGATGAGTTTTCCAAACCCTCAGTTAGAAAATGAGACTAGTGCTCCCTGTATTCACAGGCTCACAGGACGCTCCCTCCCTCCTTTGTCTCTTCTCCTTCCCATCTGTCCATCCAGCATCACCCTGGGGCCACCACGTTCTAGCGGAGAAAAGTGTGTGTAACAGACCCCTTCAGCACCTGGTGGCAAACCAGCAGCGGCTCATTGTTTCTCGCGTCTGCTCTGGGCTGCACTCAGCTGGGTGGGCCTTCCCTCCACCGGCTGTGTCTGGGTCCCAGCTGGGCTGGGCCGCAGGGTGGTGGAGGCCCTGGTGGGGAGCCTTCCGCAGGGAGTGCTGTGAAGCCCTGGGCCCTGGACTGGCGCACAGTCTGTCTGCTCACTGCAGGTCAGGGCCAGTCAGGACCAGCCCAGGTTCAAGGGAGTCAGACTGCAAGCTCCTGGGGTGGGGGGTGGGGGGCTGCAGTGTTACAGGCTCGGTCCCCACCCTCATCGGTTACAAAGTACTAGAAACACAATATAAAGACACAGGAAAAGTAAAAGGGGGAAAACCATCGTGGCTCCACCCCACACACGGAGCTCCTCCTCCCCAGCGGCCACGCCCACGAGGACGTTGCTCTGCCTCTGTTGAGTTTTTTTTTTTTTTTTTATCCTCACCCGAGGACATTTTTCCATGTTTTGTACAGATAGAGTAGGAGGGAGAGAGAGGAAGAGACAGAGAGAGAGAAACATCGATGTGAAGGGACACATAGAGTGGCTGCCACCGCCCGACCAACCAGGGCCGGGGACAAACTGCAACCGAAGTACGTGCCCTTAGCGGGAACCGAACCCGGGTCTCTCCGGACCGCAGGCTGATGCTCTAACCGCTGAGCCAAACCGGCAGGGCTGCCTCTGTTGAGTTTTTAGTCCGATCTTTCCGCGGCCTCAGGTCATTCACAGTTCTGCGCCTGGTCACACCCTCGGCATGGTCACACCCTCGGGTCTCTTCTCCGGAACTCCCGTTGGCCACTGTCGCTCAGCCAGGCTCCTGGCCCCAGACATTTCACATTTCTGTTTCTTCCTCTCCACTGGAGCCCCGGGCCACCCTTGTGCACACCGGCTGGCCCTCCGGGTGGCCCCCGCCAGGCCTTGCTGAGCCCCCTGGTAGCTCTCTGGGCACTTGACCCAGCTGCGGGACAGTGACCAGAACAGACACCAGGAGGGAAGGTTCTCGGCCACAGTGAGCGCTGAGCGGTTGCTGGGCACAGGACGCTCGTGGGTGGTCGCAGGGCGGGGGTCACAGGGCGTGCCTCGCCACAGTGCCAGGGCCCTCAGCCCCTGGGGCAGGCCGGTTCTGGGCGCTGGACGTGGAAGCTGCCTCTCAAAGTCCACTACCACAGATGACACCATCGTGCATCTCTGTGCCCCAGGCCATCCTGTTTTGTTTTCTATTTTTCTGAGCTCTTTAGGAAAAATGACCAGGAAAGGGATCATCAGGTCAAGGGTTTGGACATGTTTCCATTTTTTCTAATTATGAACTCTGGTAGGCCTCTGGGTCCTTCTCTGGCAGCCCATGGTCCTCACTTCTGCTTGTTGGAGTCTGAAAATTCTAGGACAGCGCAGCCTGCATTTGCCCTGTGAACACATGCACGCGCACACACACACATGCGCGCACACACAGCACACAGTTGCACACATGCACGCACACAGTTGCACACGTGCACACGCACATGCGCGAGCACACACACACAATCCCTCCATACTGCGTTGTGCACACCTGTCTGTGGGGGGTGTGTCCTGGCTGGAAAGGGGCCTCAGCCTGTGGGAAGGTTCTCCCTTAGCATCGTGGTCTATCTGGGTGCCAGTTGCCACCATGAAGCATTTGTTGGAGTCGAAGTCTTTCCTGTTCATCATGGTCGTTATGCCGCCATCGAGACGTCTCCGCCATTTCAGGCAGGGGCCTGCCCTGACCGATTTGTTTCTTTATTTCAGCAGTTAATGTTGGAGCTCTGAGTTTGTCACGAGCTGGCCCGTTTGTTCCACCGGTGACTTTCTGCCCAGTGCCGGCGAGACAGGGTTAGGTGTGGGGGTGCAGAGCCTGGGTGGCCCCGATGTCCGTGCAGGAGGTCCGGCAGCACAGGGCTGCGGCGGCCACATATTCAAGGAGAAGCAGTGATGGGGGCAGAGAGGAGGAGGCTTCCTGGAGGAGGCGGCATTGGAAATGGGGCTGTGGAGGGGCTGCGATCTTCCCACCTGGCGGGGCCAGGAGCCCGTTGCCTTGAAGGAGTCAGATGTGGGCCGGCTCACCTTCCTCCTGCAGCCTTGGGGGCAGAGAGGCTGTGAGCATCACTGCGCGTCCGTCCGTTTGTCCCCCTGTAATAGCAGCCGCTTGGATGGGGGCAGCAGAGGCTGAGACCTGTGGAGACATCGGGGAGGGAGTGGCCTGGGGTGAAGAGTGACGCTGTTGCCCCTCCAAGTTCCCTTGCCAGCTGCTGCCAGCTCCTCTGATTTTTCTAGATTAGCCGGAATCTGGGTTTTTACATAAAACCTTCTGAATTCAGATTGTTTGCAAATCTGAAGCTGGTCAGACTAGTCACAGCCTGGGTCAGGATCTGCTTTGTGAGCCACACGTACTTTTTGCTGGCTTGGTCAGAGCAGCCAACGACCGAGTCCGCCTGGCTTCTGTTGTTCCTTTGATGCCCCCTGGCTCCAAGTGCCGGGCCGGGCCATGCCAGCTCTGAACATGCCCGCGTCTGGGGCAGAGTGTGGATTGGGCTGAGCAGCCTCCGTCCTCCCTGCAGATCGAGCTGGCTATTCTGCGGTTTCCTTACGAGTCGTGGGGGACACCCTTCCAGCAGCTGAAGCAGGTGGTGGAGGAGCCGTCCCCCCAGCTCCCCGCCGACCGCTTCTCTCCTGAGTTTGTGGACTTCACTGCACAGTGGTGAGTCCTCAGCCCTGCCCTGGCCAGGCCGCGGCTCCTCCCTGGGCTTCTCCTTCAGCAGGTCGTCCCCAAACAGCACGGCACCATGCGTCAGGCAGAGACAGAGCACCGGGAACATCGGGCAGACTGGTTCTCGGGGAGACGTTAACTCTGTCCTGAAAGTGGACAGACCGAGGCAGACGGAAGAGAAAACAGAAAGCTTGCAGACGGTTTGAATAGTACAAAGATATTATTGTTATCAAAGTCAGGAACTTTGTATCAGATTAAAGAATACCATGGGAACCTTGTAAAAGTGGTGTTTGAGGTTACCAAGGAAATAGGCAAAGTCATACAGGCCATGACTTCATCATGAAATAAAACAGAAAGTCCATAATGAAGAGGGAAAAGCCACGTGGAAGTCCAAAGTAAGTTCCCACTCACTCTTCAGATATTACAGAGATTTGAAAAATGAAATTATAAGCTATTCAATGAAAGACGGCAAGAAAACAGGTAAAGAGAGAATCAGAGGAAAACTTGTAGCCTTTATTCCTTTTATTAGAGACTAAAAAAGACTGAAAACAAAGGAGCCTTTCAAACAGTCATCAATTACCTTGACTCCTTTTAATTAGGGCCTCCCCTCCTCCAGGACCTGTGAGGAGGACTTTTCCCTCCTGGGCAGGGACACCAGGATACGCCTGCTGGTGGCAGCATTTCAGTATTGGGTTCATTGGAAATCCCCCAGAGTGCTATAGGGACAAGACAGTTAACACCCCAAGAGATACAGAATTAACACCCAGAGGCAAAACACGAGGTGCATGTCTGTCCTTTGCACCCATGGGTTCCGCTCCATCCATGGGAGCTCCAGAACAGTCCTGCTGCTCCCCGGAGACCCAGGAGCACATGGGGTCTCCTCACTGCCCGGGAGGGGTGAGCCGGCTGGCGTAGCCGGCCTGGAGGGCTGGCCAGGCCTCCCCCTTGCCAGCCTGCCCAGACCTGCCTTGTTCTCTCCTAGCCTGAGGAAGAATCCCGCAGAGCGCATGAGCTACCTGGAGCTGATGGTGAGTGGGTGGGGCGGCGCTGGGGCGCCCTAGGCACAGAGGTGGGAGCTCTGGCTGGCCCCGCTGTAGTTCATTCAGGTACTCATTCACCCTGGCTGCCTCCTTCCTCCCCGCCAGGCCCTGTGCAGGGCACACAGGCGGTGCAAAGGGGTGGGGTGGGGGGCAGGTGGGCTGTTGTATCTGAAGGCATCAGGGAAGGCTGCCTAGAGGAGGTGACATTAGAACTGGGCCTGGAAGGATGAATAAGGATTTACCCACTGATGGAGAGGACCTTCCAAGGCGAAGGCCCGTCACGGGCAGAGGCTTGGCACGTGTGGGAGAAGTGAGATTAGAGTGGCTGCTGGAGGGCTGAGGAGCATGCCGTCAGTGCTGTCTCTAGTGGAGGGCGTTCTGGGGGCTAGAAGGATGCATAGGAGTTTGCCAGGCAGAGGAACACACAAGGGCCTGGGCTGGTTTGGGGAGGTGGGAGGCACCTCTGCTCCATGCTTTGTCCTGTCCGCCATCAGGAGCATCCCTTCTTCACCTTACACAAAACCAAGAGGACAGCCATCGCTGCCTTTGTGAAGGAGATCCTGGGGGAGGACGCGTAGACGGGCCGCCCGGCAGCCCGGAGCCTGCGGGGCAGTGCTCGCCCGCACCCATAAGCTGCTGCCACGCCGGCCTTGGGCATTCTGGGAGGACTCGAGGGGGCTGGTCCCAAGTGCCACAGAAGCAGACTGTCCGGGTGCCCTGCCGGGCCCACGGAGCCTCACCGGTGCCTCTGTCCTGCTGCTCCAAGGACCCTGGACTCGCAGGGACCGGGATGCCCTGCCGCCACCACCCCTCACAGAGAAGGCAGCTGGACCTGTGCGCTGCCTGGGCCCAGCCCCGGACGCCACCGAGTTGTATATTTTTTTACTTCTTGACTGAGTGGACTTTGCGCACTTTGACCTAGGGGGGCCCCATTTCTGTCCTGTCCTTGGTAGAGCAGGCATGGGGGTGAGCCACAGGAATCCCCCAGCTCTGGCAGACGCCTCTGCGGGCACCGGGTGGCCCGGCCGCCTCCTGTCTTGTCCACTAGGGGTGTCGTTACACTTGCCTTTTAAAATCTGTCCTCGGTTTTTCGTTTTGTTTTGTTTTCTGTTTTTCTTGATCTTTTTGCTTTGTGGGTTTGGCTGTTTGCTTGTTTGTTTGTTTTGCATGGTTTTCTCCCCCCTCCTCCCCAGAGGCCCAGCAGGCGAAGTCTCGCCCTCTGCGCAAGTGGGGGTCCGGGAGGATGGGCTCAAGGTCGCTGCTCGAGGTGGTCTCCGTGGGGACTGGCTTGACAGGCGATGGATTTGCTTTTAGTAGTCTACATATTTTTTTCTTTTTTGAATAAAGGACTATCTGTCCTGGATCCTATCCCTGATGGGTTGGGGCAGTTACCTGATTGCTGTTTTAATAATAAAAAAAAAAGTGGGTGATCAGGCTGTGTGACTGTCGCAGTGGTAAGCCCGTCCCTCAGTGAATGTCCCGGCCGCTAGAAGGGCCCCTGCCCTGGGATGGGGCCGGGCAGTGTGCTCAGGGCAGCAGGGGCTTGACCTGCCGGGGCCCTGCACTGTCACAAACGACGTGAGGGCGTTATTGTCTCGGGTGATTGTGGTATCCCGCTGACAGTTGAGAAAACAGGCCCAGAGATCTGAAGTAACTTGCCCAAAGCTACACAGCTTGTAGGTTGGAGAAACAGGCATGGAGACAGGTAGTGTCTGGGAGGAGTTGAGGCAGCTCAAGGATGACCTCTGCCAGCGTCCAGTCTGGCTCTGGTCCTTGAGGCCTGGGCTGGGGCAGGCACTGACCATCGTCAGTCTTCAGAAGGAAATTTCTTTGCTCCTGTAAGCAGAACTGTGTGTGGCTTCAGGCACAGCTGATCCAGGAGCATGGTTCATATCCTGTAGAACTGTGTCCACCTCAGCTCTATTTTCTCCCGGTTCCACACTCCCTCATGGGGACAAATCAGGACCCAACAGCTCCTACCAGCTTAGCAAAGGCCCCCCCCCCCCCCCAGCTGAGGTCCAGGTCAGGCTTATTGGCTGGGAACGGGTCACATGCTCATCTCCAGGCTAATCACAAACCAGGAGGATCAAACACTGGAGAGTCAGCCCACCCACACACATCTCAGGGTCAGAGAATCCTAGTCCTCTGCGGGAAATGGGGGCGTCTTCTCTGGGCTGACTTCTCTACCTCAGCTCAGGCTGTTTACGAAACACAATTTACAAAGAAATACACCGTTTGCGAAGCCCTCTACAGGATTAAAAAGCAAGTTGTAGTTTACCAAGTACATACCTCGGTTCTCGAACATAATTCGTTCCAGGAGGACGGTCGAGAACCGAATTGTTCGAGAACCGAAGCAATGAAACCCAATAGGAAAGCGTGACTCCACAAAGCGTGACTCTCTCTCTGCACTCACACTGATGACGCGAGCAAGGCGCGCTGGGCCGAATGAACGCCATTCGGCTCAACTCGGCTCATCTCGGAAGTTCGAGTTCCAAATATTTGTTTGGATTCCGAGACAAAATTTCTCGAATCTCCTGGTCAAATACCGATTTGGTCGAAAACCGAGGCGTTCAAGAACCGAGGTATCACTGTAGTTTACTGGCCAGATTAGAAGGCACTTAGAATTTGCATGTTCCTCTCCACACGCGTTCAAGTACCAGCTGCCCAGTTAGCATCTGATGGACCTTCCGCTTTTACAAGGGGCGTCCAGGCTTCCAAGTGGGGGAAGCCAGTGTGCAGGTCCATCTGACATTTCCAAAGTACCGTTCAGTCCTCAGGCCCTTGACAGTTTATGCCACTAGTGACCTCAGTGAAGGCTCCCCACCGTGCGCTGCAGGCTGAGGCGGAGATCACGGGCACGGGCTGGGCCAGGACCTTTGTAGAGTCCAGGTGTCTCCACTCAGCAGGGGTTGGGTAGCTGCATGTCCCAGACGAGGCTCTGGACTGACAGGACGGAGGCCTGTGGTCTCTGCTGTGCGGGCCTCTTCACTAGGCTCAGTAAAAAATGCCACGGTCAGGCCTGGTCTCGTGGGGGCTGCCCTGAGGGAGGGTTTCGTGTTTCCTCCTGACCAGGAAAGCAGCCTTGTTAAATATCAGCTCAGCCTCTCTGCACAGAGTCCTGCTGTGGCTCACACCTCCCCGTGAAGCCTGCTGGTCCTCTGAGCTCAGCCTCGCTGTTCTCAACACGTCAAGCCCGGACCTGCTTCGGGGCCTTTGCACTAGCTATCCTGGTGCCCCCAAGGTGTCCTGCTGGCTGCTGGCTGGCTCAGCTGTCTGCTCAGATACCACCTCCCCACAGAGGCCTCCCTGCCCACCAGTCACTCTCCTGCCCCCAGCTTGCTGTATCATCTTCGTAATTATTTTGTAAACAGTGATATTAACAGAGACAGAGGAACTGCTTTGCGGGTCTTATGCTCAAACCTTGGAAGGTTAAAACAGCAAAATAACCTTGGGACTAGGCCTCAGCAACTTTGTTTTCAAAAAAACTCCAAAGACAACAAGCAAGCCGATATTAAGACTGTTGGGCTGATGACTACTTGCTGACAATGAACAACATGGTTCAGACTTCACTGAGCTGTTATCTGCAGCAACACAATGCCTCCCTTCTATGGATGTCATTGTTCCCTTCCGTCCTCATCAATACTCCTGCCTTTGTCCCTAATCAGAACATTATTCGGGATTCTGCCTGAGTCAGAGCATCTCGAATAGCTATTCTTATTGATCTCCATAAATGTTTGTTGCCTCTCACTTTGAAAGGCCTTTTTATTTTTAGGTTAGCAATTTATTTACATTCTTGCACTGCCTGCCTGCCTCCCCCACTGTACTGGGAGCTCTTCTGGGGCCGGGACGCCTCTGTCCTGCTCAAAGTCTGGCACAGAGGGATCATGCCAGAGGACGTGGCAAGGGCAGGGAAGGTGCCCTCTGGCCCCAAAGCTGAGCCCAGAACCAGCACAGTGGGGCCTAGGGAGCTCGGCCTGCCCGAACGGTGCCAAGGTTTGACTGGCTGCGTTCTCTTCACTCTGGGCATTGTCTCGGGAGGGCTCTCCAGGAGCAAGGCGACTTCTCCTGGTACGACTAGAGACTGTGCGCTCCGAGAAGGGAGACAGCCAGCGGAGGCCACACAGTGAGCAGCGCCAACGCCGGACTGGACCGGACCGGACCGGAACCACCAGGTGGTCAGCGTCTCCCGGGTGTGGGGCAGCCTGAAGGCAGGGCTCCCTGTGTGGGACAGACCTTAGCACAGCGGTCCCAGGAACTGAGAGGAAGGGTTACTCCGAATCCTTCTGAAGCCTGGGTAACTCTGGCCCAGACAAGGGGGAGGGGACCAGCAGGCTGCTTCCACCGCCTTTATCTCCGCGTGGGCCTGGCGGCTTTGTGGGAGGGGCGGAGACTGAGCAGGCTTGCGGGCTCCTGGGCTCCTCTCCGGGGGCTAAGCCTTCACCTGACCAGGAATCCCTTCCCAGCCACACCCCCCTGGGGCTGCAACCTCTGCTTGCACAGCTCCCTGGTGGGGAGCTCATTCCCAGTGACAGGTCCCTGGAGGGGTCGGGGAGTCTTCTCGTTCTGGCTCTGCTCTCTGGCTCTGCCGTGAGGGCCTCGTGTGATGTCAGCACCCCGAATGCTCATTTACTTCCCTGCTTCTTGTGGAAACCAGGTGGGAAGGCCCACAACTGGATGGGGCCAGAGTCGGTTTGCAGTTGTGAGCACAAGAAACAGAATTCATTCTTGTGTTATTAATTAGTATGTTTGCCACGCCCTGTGCATATCAGCTGTTCTGTGGTTATCATAAAGTGTGTATCTGCACACCCAGGGCAGTGGGTTCTTCTGGAAGCCGCAAAGGCGCAACAAGGTTCCAGCCCTACCTGAGGGCCCCCAGACAGTGAGGCAGAGCGGGTGAGCCCAGAAACCCAGGAGTCCTGACCCAGACCTCACCCCCAGCCCAGGCTCTGCCCACCCCAGTGCCACCTGCCAAGCCAGGTTCAGTGGCCTCCATCCCCTCTAGCCGTGCGGAAGCTGTGAACTGCTCTGGTCCTGTCCTGGGCCCCTCTGTGGTGGAGCTTGGAGGAGGGAGGCCTGGGGGGCAACAGGGGCTCCAGTCTCTGGTTGGGGTGCATCCGCCCGGGAAATCCTTTCCTTCCTAGCTCCCAGAACGTCCGTGGTTCCCCAGTGCCCAGGGACCCAGGGGAAGGAGACCCAGCGTGGACTCCATAGCAGAGCTTTGTGTGGCTTGCTGTCCACACTGGAGGTGTTATTTGGTGCCTACTGTGTGCTAAGCAACATCCCAGAACTGGGGCTCCAGCAGGACCCAGGCAGGCCTGGGCGGCCCTGGCAGGCGTGAGCATCGGAGGCAGCAGAAGCTCAGGAAATGCTTCACAAGGCACTTTCCCTTCGCTGTTGAAAGCATTACAGAGGTCTGTCCCCTTCCTGCACGGACACCCTCCCTCCCCTCCTCCCCACCCCCTGCACCACACTGCCCTCCTGTCCCTGGCATTTCCTACTCTACGTAACTCCCTAAGGAGAAACACGGAATTGAATTAATTAATTACCTTCTATGTTAATTACACGCAATTACAATGATTTAAATTTAATCTCCTCTTCTGCAATGCAATGCGCAGCAACACAGCGTTGTCATGTCCTGTGCCTGGGTCCAAGCCTTTCCCCTCCTCCAAGAGCTTCTGCCTCCTTTGAAAACGATGGCTACGCCCATTATACGCTGCCCTTAGCGCACGAGAAAGCGGGGCGCACCAGAGTGGGACCCTTCCTGGGTGCGGGCATGCAGCAGGTCCGCGGCTCCGAGCCTCGGCGGGTGGGGCGAGGGGTGGAGAGCGCGCGGGACGCCCCGCAGGGCCGGCACCCGGAGTCACAGGAGGCTCCGAGTCGGGGGAGATGTGGTCTGATTTACACGAAGAGCAAAAATAACAACGGGGGCGACGCGACAGGGTCGCCTTTCCGAAACTTCCTGGTTTCTGCGAAGCGGATGGATGCCCTTCTGCCTCAGCCCGCCCGCCCCACCGGCGCCGAGGTCCTCCACCCCCAGCCCGGCCCCATCGCACGCTGGGCTCCGGCACAGCAGGCCCCTGAGACTCAGTTTCCTCAACTGCAAGTCGAGGGTGGTGACACCGATCTCACAGGACCACAGGTGGTCTCAATGAAACCCTGGAGGGCACTTGGTTAGTAACCCTGCCCCTCGGGTTCCTGTCCTGCGCGCCTTCTCTGGGCCTGGCCCTGGGCAGGCCCTCAGCTCCGGATTTATTCTTCACAAGATTGCTGTTAACCCAAACCTCATTCCCTGTGGCCCCGGGGGCGCACAGACTTGTTAATCCTCCCCTGATTATATTTTTCTGAAGGGAGGAAAGGAGGGAGTGAGAGAAAGAGATAAACATGATGCGAGAGAGACACATTGGTTGGTTTCCTCCCTGCCACCCAGGAATCAAACCCCCGACCCTTCAGC